GAATAGGACATTCTCCCACAAAGATTATCTGGCTCCAAATGTGAGTAGTGTGAAGTTGGAGAAACCCTGAGCTAGAAACTACCTGTACACAGGAGGAAGGAGGAGCCTGTTCACCAGTGTCCTGTGTCACTTCCCAGACCACCTGTAGATACAAGGCATGACTCGCACCAATCTATAACCACTCAAAAATGGGCCCTATTATTTAGATCTGGAAGAACGGGGGGGGGGGGGGGGGAGAAAAAGGTGGCCAGGAAGTCTCCAGGTAGGGTCTCTGAGGGCCGGTGAGACTTTGATGGAGAACATGAAGTGAGCAGGAGCATGAGAGCTCATGCACGTGGAAACAGGCCCTTTGGACAGAAATGCTCTCTGGCCATCCAGCACATCTGTCTGTCTCTCCACCTTGACTCTAGACAGCCTGGAAGTCCTTGCAGGACTCTCCTGTGTCAGGAAGCTGGATTAGGTCCCTCCCATCTGTCCTCTCAGCAAAATTGCTCACGGGCCGCCTGCCCTGCCCACTGCCAAGAGCTGTAGCAGTCACTGGGGGTGACTTGGTGGGTAGGCTGGGGTGGGGGATGTGGTTGGGAGAGCTTTGCAGTCTGTCCTGGAACCATTCCCAGTGAAGTAATTTCTCGTCCATACCTCCTCATTTAGGGTTATTCCTTCTAAAATGTTGGCATCCTATAGGTAAACCAGGGTTTTTTATTAACATCTTGGGACAATGCTGATCTTAACCACAGGAACGATCTGAGGGAGACATGACTTCTGCTATCTTTAAGCTAATGTCTGGCTGGCTCACACACAAAGAAACTGTCAGGGTGCTGCCACAGGGTGCTGCGATGCCTAGCTGTAGAGCTCCTCTCACTGTAGAGCTCCCCTCACTGTACAAAGCTCTGGGGTCACTGAGTTCTTGATTTTTCAGATGAAATGTGGTATTTATTGTATGCTCCAGGTGATCAAGTTTATGTTGAGACTCTACCAATGCCTCAAAGCACTGAACCCTAGTGCAATGCATAGGAATTTCAATAACTACTACACCTACATTTATATGTGTTTTCAACCTGGGAGCAAAAGCCCTAGCTTGAAAAGATTGGAAAATGGAATTTACTATGTGTTTGCTAAAACAGCTGGAAGCTGTCTTCTGCTGCACCTGCAGAGGGATGGTCCATCATGGGAGGTATTTATGATGCTGATTTCTGGTCTGGGGACAGTGACTGGCCTTACCTATGAGCTGAGCATTTATTTAGCACCTAGATGTGCTGGGCATTGGGGCTGAAAGTATCCCTAGATCTGGCTCCTCAAAAGAGCTAATTGCCCAGAGGAGAAGAAAGGGCAGAGCAAGTGTTAGCAGCTCATGCTGAGGACCATGGTGCTGTGAGCACAGGATGCTGGGAACAAGAGTGCAGCCCACCTAGGGGCTCAAGGCAGCCTCCCAGAGTAGGCACCTCTAACTGAGCTGGCCAGGTGGTCAGAGGGGTAAAAGGAGCTGTGGAAATACTTGTGCAAGTTATTAAGTGTGTACTGTGTGCCAGGTGCTGAAAATACAAATTAGCTGGAGAGCTATTTCCACACCTCAGCCATCCAAGTTACACAAGAGAAAGATGAGGTTAAGGAGGACAAGTAAGCCGCTCTCTTGGGCATTTACTGGGTCTGTAAATGACTCTGCTAGCAAAAATTGCCTCTACAGGTTGACCTGTCCTTCAGGAAGTACAGCTTCCCTCAGTGGGTGCTTACCCAATCCTTTCTGTTTTTCATTTTCATCAGTGCCTCACATGAGGGCAGCACAGGTGTCCCAACTTAGAAATGAGGAAGCTGGGGTTCACTATCTAGGTTTAGGAAACTGGGGCACTGGGGGAAGAAGGCCTGGGTCCTCCTCATCTGGAGTGGTCCCCACTCTCTGGCTTGTGTGATTGATATACTGTCCTCCAGAGATGTGTGTTGTTGATACTCAAGTGTATGACCTGAGAGGCCTGTCATTTGCTTCAGGTGTGACAACCTGAGACCGTGGAGAACACTGGGGAGCAGTCACCCATGGGCACTGTATACCAGGGTGACCAGGGGCTGTTCCCCTCCCCTTAGAGAGGGGCCTGTGGAGAGTGGCTCTCCTGAAGGACTGTGGTGGCCCATGTCTCTCGGGGATGCTGGCTCTTAGAGCTCTCAAGTGCTGATTGTTAGGGTGATGGGAGCTTTATGAGTTATTCATTAGATATTTAGCACACTAGACTATATAAATCTACATTTGAATGAGTTATATTCAGAAGAAAGGTAATACTGAAAACTGATCCTCCCCTGGTTATTTTCCTACCTGTTCCTATTGTCTCTTCTATGGAGGTGAATGTCAGTTATGCACCTGTATAGGGGAAAGAGTAGATAATGGTCTTTCCTACATAAGTAACATAAGTGCTACAGTTCATCTTTGTCCATCTCTGTTAACTGACATCACGTTGGTGGCTTGACCTTGATCACGGAGGGTATATTCACATCACTGGTCTCAGCAAACACTACAAAACAGGGATCTCCCTAACCCCATCCCACCAGAACTGGTTGTTTGCCATGTACTTGCCACAGAGCTCTGTTAAGGAATTTTTTTTTAAACCACAATCTTTTTTTTTTTTTAAATATTTATTTATACATACAGAACTGGTACAGGCCAGAGGTGCAGGCGCAGTGAGAGGATTCACCAGAGACAGAGTGGGGAGCAGAACAGGCCGACTTACGAAGCACACTGCTGAGAGGAACAATGGGTGAGACAGGAGCGGTCTGCTATACCAAGTGGGTCACCTCCCTGGCCAGGTATTGAACTCCTGCTGAAGAGGCTGCAGCTAGCTTCCTAGAGCTGCACTTTAACCCATTGCACCACCAGGGAGGCTCTGGTTAGGGGATTTTGAAATTCACAGGGTAATAGTGGGGGTCTTGCCAAGCCCTCCAGCTTTGCCAAAGATCTGGGCTTCCTCCTGCATAAGGAGAGAGCATTTACTATGACCGGACAATTAGCCAAGTGATTCATAGCACTTGCTTTCGTAATCACTTGAGTCTGGGCTCCTGTGTGCCCTGCTGTCTTGCTGGATAAAAACAACGACAGGCCTCAGTGTTGATGTCCAGAGAGAAAAGGGTAGATCATGTCCCTGGGGTCACATCATCCCTTTGAGCCAAGCAGGTATACAGTTGCACATGGGATTCTCTATCAGTAACAGAGGGTAAGTGCCCAGGAGGACAGCATGATGGCTGGCCATGACTGATGGCCTTCCCTCATCCTGGACACAGAGAAGGACAGAGGTAAAGGGAAAGGACTTCCGGCTGTTTGGGCCAGACTCAGACATCATGACATCATTGCCCAAAAGGAAACACAGCTTTGTTCTCTCCCTGGGAGCCCTTCTGCACTAACATGGGAGATGGTCTGCATCACTGCAAGTGTGTGTCTGGACCCAGCCCTCCTGCTGAGGAGCCATGGGAACTCACCTCCTGAGCACTGGACCTCAGTTTGCTCATCTCCAGATATGTGGAGGGTTTCACTGCACTGCCGTCTGTTACCTGACTCAATGCAGAAATTGGCTGTTTCTATTCCATTTAAACTCACCCACAGCTTTTACAGGGACATTGCCTTCTGCCAGGTGTTTCTTTCGTCATCACTGTCTGCTAAATGTCTTTGAAATTCTGAACAAATTTGGGGAATTTGTCCTCCAGTTGATCTCTCCCTACTGCTGGAACTGAGGGACTGACTGGGGTTCAGGGGCCAGCAGGCAGAGGAACTTGGAGGAGGAACTGGGAAGAGCAAGGGGCAACTTCTGGTTAACCCTCTCCCAGCATCTCAGTATGGTGTCAGCATCTCTCTGGGCTCCTCTGATGGGGGCCAAGGCCAGCCACAGCTGCCTACATGCTCTTCTGGCTCTGAGGCAAGATCTGCAGTCATGGGCCAGCAGCACTGAGTTGTGGGGTGTGGGGAATGCTCTACTACCACTGGATTAACCGTCCTTTAGGAAGGTGGATAATGTAAGGGTGATCCTACCTCTGCACAAGGTTCCCTTGCGTTCTCTGTCTACATTGGACCAGGCAGGGTTCCCTCCTTGCCCTACCGCCTTTCCAAAGCCCTCCTCAGTCGGGGGGCAAGGACTGTGCTGTCGAGGATGTGAGCCTAGTCTGGGTTGGTACCAGGGAGCTAGACTTACAGTCATTTTCTGGGGTAAAGGGTAGGGTCACTCCTCTTCTCACCCCACTCCACAGATATCTCTGGACATTATGTACTTGGCCAGTGAGCAAGATTTATAGGGCTCACCAGCATCTGGGTCTCAGTATCCTGATCGCCTGAGCAGCCACTTTATCCTGTGCCCACTGTGTTCAGTACAGAGCCCAAGCACCACTCAGGAATTGGGATGATCTTTTAAAAATGTATCTGATTTCTCTGCTTCAACATTTAAAACATGGGGTTTCCTGTCATACTAGGAGTAAGACAAAGGGAACAATGACTTACTAAGGTCCTATGGGACCTGCCACTATCACCCACTCTCACCTCATCAGGGACCACTGTCCCCCTCAGGGGCTCTGCCCTGGCCATGCTCACCTCTCCCACCTGGAGACTTTCCCAGGGCTGCTGCCTCAGCACTGGGCACCTCCCCAGCCTTACACCAGCCTTGACTGTGTGTTTCCAGGCTGTCTTCTCCCCTCTACCAATCTCTCTTCATCTTACTTCACCATCACCCAGTATCTTTGACTTCAGAGAGCTTAGGAGTTCCTGAAACCCCTGTCAGTCCTCACAGGAAGGTGAGCATCGTGAGTCTAGGGAGGTTGCCTGTTGGGCACTGTGAGCAGGATGTAGCAGGTGCTCGATAAAGTTTGTTGAGAGAATGAGTGACCCAGTGAGGAAATGAATGCGCTTCCCCAGGGCCTTCTGAATAGAAGCTGTTCAGTGTATGCACGCCACTGCCATGGCTGGGGAGGGAGGCGGTTACAAGAGGGGAGGGTGGCGCCTGTACTTCTGTGCCCTCTGCTGGAGCCGGTGCCAGGTTCTAGTTGTAGGTGCTGCCCTCAGCCTGAGCCTCCCTCCAGGCTTCTCGGACCTTGATCTTCACTTTGAAATGTTCGATCAGAAAGACCACATTGGGGACACCTTCCAGAGAGGGCATGTGTCCATCGTCTGGGACCTCGAAGTCAAACCTCTGCAGTAACCAGGCCATGAAGAGGAAGAGCTCCTTGCGGGCCAGCATCTCCCCTACACATGTGCGGGGTCCCGCCCCAAAGGGGAAGTAGCTTAAAGATGGTGAGATGAGGTGGCTCCCTGTTGGGTCCAAGAAGCGCTCTGTGGACATGGGGAGGCAGCCATCAGCCAGGGGTCTGGACAGCAGAAGCAGAGGTGTGCCTGTGTCCAGAGGCCCAGTGGGGTCCTGCCTGGAGAACCCCAGGCTGGGAGGGATGCAGCATTACTTAGGGATCCTTAGGTTACTCTCAGGTTGCCCTCATCACATGGAATGTCAGGAGAATGGAAGGGAGCAGTATTAGGACTAAACGCCACCACCCAGGGGCTGGGGTATGTTTGTGGAGGCCATGTGCCCACAGGCTTTTGAGAGGAGAGATTGAAACTATGGAAGAGACAGGTGTCCAGAATGAGGTTTGGTGAGTCTAGGGGAGTATGGGGGTGTTCAACTGGTATACATGATTGCCCCCCGAGCTTTCTAGTAGCAAGCCAGGCAGGGGGAAGCTGAGTAGTCAGTGGAGCATAGAGCACAGGTGGGCTGACGGGACAGACTCACCGGGCATGAACTTGTCCGGCTGGTCCCACTCCTCCTCATTGTGATGCAGCGCCCACAAATTGATGATGATATTGGTGCCCTTGTCAATGGCATAACCACCTATGCTGCTCCAGAGAGGGAGAGGAAGGGGGTTGTGGAATTGTGCCCCTACCTGCTCAACCACAAGCCTGCACTGTCTGCTCTCTGGGGACAAGTACCCCCTGCTTCCTCACCCCTATGGCATCACCATTTCCTCAGTTTCTGCCAGAACCCATCTACATCTTGCACTTTTCAGTCTACTCTGCCTGACAACGATTTGTGCATGTATTGTGTGAATGTGGGGCATGAGTGTCAGGGCAGGTTGGGATGCATTTGAGCTGATGCACATCTGTGTGTGATTGGCTGTTGCACTACAAGGAGGATAGAGTATCTGGTCTTATCCAGGCCAGGTGTCTCCAAGAGCAGAGGGCCGCCTCTGAGGGAGATCAGTAAACTGTGGGCTGGGACTGGGTGTGAGTGTGGTGGAGACATCGATAAGTAGGGTAGGTTGACTCTTACTCAGTCGTTGACCATTACTTATCAGCAAGTTAAGGGGACCAGGATGAAAAAGGGGTCACGTGAATGGGATCAATGTATTACAGGACTGGTTGATTTAGGCAGGGAGGAATACCTGGAGTCGACAACGGCCTTGTGGGGAATGAGCATTGGGGCCACGGGCCTGATGCGCAGCGCCTCCCTGATGGTAGCCTCCAGGAGCAGGAGATGGCTGCGGTCCCTGAGCGTTGGCGTGCGGCTGAACCCTATATGCTGGTCAATCTCGTCCTGGATCTTCTTTTTCAACTGTGGGCCAGAGCAGGTGGATGTGATCAGCAGGCTCAAGCCTACCATTGATGGCTTTGCTAGAATCCCATTGTCACATCCACAAGAGCTGGTACAGACCCTTCCAGCAGAGTAGTGACTGTGCAACTCAGGTCCTTCTTTCATAAGATAGGACATCTCCTTCCTAAGCCTAGAGCCAAGCTCTGCTGGGATGTGGAGTACTTCTGGCAACTCCTTTGCAAAGTAAGTCTGAGAGTTCTCTCTCTTTCTGGGGACAGAGGTTGGGCTTGCTAGGGTCAAGGGTGTCTAGGGAGGTTGGAATAAAGAGAAGCCCACCTGAGGGTAATGCAGCAGGAAGGCCACAATCCACTGTACCACAGAGGAGGTGGTCTCCACTCCAGCCCCAAAGATGTCTCCAATGGTAATGAGAATGTGTTCATCTGAAAGCAACTTTAAATCCTGATCTGGGTCCACATCATTGTTTTCTGAGTTCATCTGAGCTTGGATCAGTATGTCCAGCAGGGTAGTGATAGAGTCGCTGCTGAAGTTCTCCTGGTGGGGGATATTGGAGGCAGTGCTGAGGACAAAGCCCCATCTGAGCACCCTCTCATACTTCTACCCAGAGTGGAGGTTCCACTTGGAGATAAGAGTGTGGCCTGGGTAGGCCTAAGAGTTGTGGAGGTAGGAGGCAGCACTGGGCCCTCCTTGAATTTGGGGCTGGTGGGTCCTCTCTAGGATCCTCTTCAGGTCCTCACTTCCCCACCCCCATCGTTAGTTGAATCTAATCCATTTCCATTGGTGCCTACTGTGTGCCAGGCTCTACGTGATCTCCCTGGGGAGAGCCCAGTGTCACCATTAACCCAACCCTGTTCTAATGCATGTTCAATGTGACTGAATCTCTTCTGCTCCATCTCTTACCTTATATTTTCCAAGAATTTCACTCAGTAATTCATTTCTCATTTTAACACAGTTCCTTAACTTTTCCAGTGTTTTGTTGGGGAAAACCTATAAAGAAGAAAAAAAGCAAATCCATTCCTCTTCCATTTTCCTTATATGGCTGTCCAAATCCCTCCTTCTCTTGGGGCTTCCTTTATCACCAAACCTCCAGTCAAAATGGAAGGCAAGATGGCACAGAATCAGAACATCAATGATAAGTAATAAGTAGGACAAGTTCAAGCAAGTGTAAAGGGAGTTTCTAATTCCCTTTCCCCATTCATTCAAACATCAAGACTGAATGAGGGTTTATTTAGTAAATTTGCTGTATTTCCAAACTTTAAGCGTCAGGAAGATGTGATTCTAGAGCTGGGCAATTTCTTTAACTTCCTAAATCAGTGTTCTGTCTGCAGGATTAGAATGATAAAACCCATCTCCAAGGAGAACAGATTGAATGACTAGTGGTTGCATATGGCACATCAATAAAACTATGAGAACACTATCAAGAACCTTAAAATGCTTGGTAATGTGTTACTTCTTTCTTTTTTTTTTTTTAAAGATTTATTTATTTATTCATACAGAACTGGGGTACAGGCCAGAGATGTGGAGGGTGAGAGGATTCACCAGAGACAGAGTGGGGAGCAGAACAGGCAGATGATCAAAGTACACTGCTGAGGGGAGCAGCGGGCGGGTCAGGAGAGGTCTGCCACGCCACGTGGTCTCCTCCGGGGCAGGCGGGATTTGAACTCATGCGGAAGTGGCTTAAGCTTCTTACTGCAGTGCTTTAACCCGCTGCGCCACCAGGGAGGGCCTGTTATTTCTTTTTATGAAGAGAAAGAAAGTCAAGGTTTTTTAGAGTCAGTGGAGGTAGATCTCACTGAGACTAGTGGTCAAGAATAAAATGAACCTGGTTTAGCAGTAGAGGAAACAGTGAGAACCTACTCAGAGACTATTGGGACCTGAAAGTTGGGCCTGGTTTCATCCTCACCTTCAATCCGGGGAATATGTCTACTATAGTATTCTTGCCCAGCATGTCCAGGATGCCGTTATTGTAATTTTGTATGATCTTGAGTTCAGGATCCTCATACTTGTAGGCAAAGTTGAAGCAGATGAAGCAGATAATGTTGGTCACCGCCAGGAAGACAGGTAAGGACAAATCTACTGACTGTCCATTCTTGGTGGCCAGAAAATCAGACAATAAGCTGATTTCCTGACATACTGAGGGAAGACAGGGGCAAGAGGGTGGGGAATTAAGCAACACTCTCAGCTCTTATTTACCAGTTCCACTAGCTGGGACAGCAGATGGCCACTAGATGACAGCAGTCCCCGAGAAAATGCAATGATAGGTTGTGCAATCTATAACCCCCTTCCCTCCTTAACCATCATCCAAAAGTTGGGGGGACCATCAGGTACTCACTCATTTTCTCTAGCCTCTGACTGCCATCCTTGAAAAGAGCAAAGGCAGCCTGCACCAGCTTCCGATGCAGCTGCCACAGGGCACCATGGTCAGCAAAGGCAATGCCCTTCTGATTGTCTGACAGGATGCCTAGCGTCACCTTCAGAGAGCAGGAAACAATTTAGAAGCAGACATGCTCCACCCACCTTGTCCTGGGCCTCCCCCACCCATTCCCCATCCTGAGGGAGGAGTTAGGTTTCTGCCAAGATGAATCCCAACGGCACATCCCTGTAGGACAAAGTGACAGTGTGCTCTGGTAAGTCAAGTTTAAGGCCTTCCAGTGACCAGTCCATCAAGGGAAGCAAGAGAGAAGAAAAAGAACTGTGAATAAGACTGAAATGGTGCTGGATCCAGTTTGTTAACAGGGATACCTGCCTCTTGATTCCCTACTTTCCATCAGTTTCTGATGGAGCAACAGCTGTGGATGGATCAGCTCCCTGAATTCTGTTTCCTGGGCACTGGGAGCTCACATGATAGTGGAAAGGAGGACTGGCCCATTTCTGCCTTTAGTGGAAAGGAGGACTGTCCCATTTCTGCCTTTCCTGGGCTCTCTGGGTGTGCTGACGGCTCATCAACCCAGCTCTATGTTACCGTTTTGTGGCAAGTGCGTCTGCACAGAAGTTTGGCCACCACAGCAGATCTGGTAAGAGCAGGAGTCTGTGTCCCCTCTGCTCTTGGGTATATTCCCATCCCTGGAGGCAGCCCCCTCCCCAGCAGCATGAGGGTCCAAAGCTTTCCCTCCTCTACCCTCACTCACAAGTCCCTTCTGATTTCTTTCTTTTCCAGAGAGAAGAGCTCAGAATAGTCTGGAGAGAGACTGTTGACCTGCTGAGCTGGCCAAGTGATGCAAACAAATGCCAGTCAACCACTATCCTGAGGCAGGACAGGAGGCTGGGTTCTAGTCTGGGTGTTTAGGTGAGCAGTGAGCTGCAGAGTGCTGGATGGGGCTCTGGCAGTGTTTCTGGGTCTCAGGCCCTCCACTTCCTCTAGAAGCACCTGATTGAGCTCAGTAGGATGCTCCATCACCCCAGAAACGCTACCTTGGGTCTGACCCTGTGAGCTGGAGCAGCTGCCGACAGATCCAGGAAGGTTGCAAACTGCCCTTCCAGGGCCTGGCTTTTCCCTCCCCTTCCCCTGGAGAGCAGAAGTCACTCTGCCATCTTTCCCATGAAGAGTAACTTCATAGAGACTGTTTCCTGAGCACTTACTGTGCTGGGCACTGGGCCAGTGCTTCACCTGCCCTGTCATTCACTAGGAAAGTCTCAGCTGAGAGAATCATCATGGGGTCTGGGCAAGAGGTCTTGAGTGAGGGCTCCACTCTGCACCTCTGCACACTTCCAGGGATGCCCAGAGAATGAGTGTCCTTTCATTTTTCCTGCCTGGTTGATAGCCTGGATGTGTCTGAACTCACTCTCCACCCACAGCCCAAACCATGGATTGTCTTGGGAGGAATTACTTGTTATTGTAGCTGGGAGGGTCATTGTGGACATGGTCCTGGCTGAGACCCGCACAACCCCAGAGGATGGTGAGAAAGGAGGCCCAGGGCACTGCTTACCACTTCAGGCCGTCCAGCAAAGTCCTTGCCCTTCTTGATCAGCACCTCCCTGGCCAGCTGGTGCTCCCCGACGATCACAGTGGTCTTGCTTCCCATGCGAAGGGAATAGATGGGGCCATATTTTCTCTGCAGCTTGAAGAAGTTCACATGTGGATGTCCATGTCTGGGGAGGAAGGGAAGGCTGCCCACCAAGGGCAGGGCTGGGAGGCTGTTGGGGTACTTGGCACCAGTAGGCTTCCCCTTGGGCCAGAAGAAATAGGCCAGGGTGAGCATCAAGAGAGTGAGGAGCTCCCACATCGTGGCAGACGGAGCAGTCACTATGGGTGAAAGAGCTGCAGCCACTTAGGGCCCATGGGGGCCTTTTGAAGGGTTGGGCTGACCTTCCCCTTGACTTTGTATTATCTCTTGCCTTGTAGAAGTTTATCCTGGAGTACAGCCAGACCTGAGTCCTCTTTCATAACAGTGAGAAGATGGGGAAACAGATGCCTCTGTAAGGGCTGACTGAAGTTCAGGGCAAACCCCTAGGTTGGTGCTAAGTTATTGGACAATAGCTAACCTCCACCACCACCCTGAGTTCTCCCATCAGTGAATTCCTACAACTTTCTTGAGGCAAAAATATCTGGGTCAGTAATTAGGAATGGATTTTTTTTCCATGTTGTAAATTTTTTAATAATAGACAGATGGCATTGTCATGAGGGGTATAACCAGTAAAGACTGTAAAAGATATTTTATCTTGTTTTATCATTTAAAAGTGAAGACAATATGACCTTCAATGAGTGTGACGTCAAGAACCAGATTCCTTACTTCTGGTTTGCAGTTGTTTCCTTAGGTAGTAGAGTCTAGACTCAGAGAGGTTGGGTTCCAATTCTAGGCTGTCCTCTTTCTATGATGTTTTTCTTTATATGATCTTTGGTGAGTTACTTAACTTTTTAAGAGATTTTTTTTTTGTTTCTTATAATTTTTAATTTTGATAAAATATACATAACAAAACCCCATTTTGGCATGCTGTAGTAAAGATGTCAATGTAATATACCTGAAGCTTAGATAATGTTATAAGCCAATGTTACCTCAATTTTTACTAATTCACCATTTTAACTTTTTTTAGATACACAATTTGATAACATGAAGTATATTTACAGTGTCATACAACCATTATAAAAGACAATTTTATTTTATTTTATTTTACAAAAGTTTATTTTTACATCATTTTGTACATTTTATTTTTTCCATCTCAGTTGTAATCCCCATGGGTTTCTCATCACCAAGTCACCCATGTGCCATCACCATAACCCCGTGCATTTCCCTACCCCCCACCCCCAATTTTTGATCCTATTCCCCACTCCAACCCCACAAAATGTCTCTGGTATATGGTTGTTCATTATTTTTGTTATTTTCTCGTCTGGTCCATTATACTCCTGCTATGAGTGAAACCATCGGTATTTTTCTTTCTCTTTCTGGCTTATCTCACTAAGCATGATCTTTTCCAGCTCCATCCAAGTTGCTGCAAAAGACATGTGTTTCTCTTTTTTGGTTGCTGAGTAATATTCCATTGTATATATGTGTACTACATCTTTTTTATCCAGTCATCTACTTTTGGGCATTTGGGCTGCTTCCATGTTTTTCCAATTGTAAATAAAGCAGCAATAAACATGGGGGTACAGGTATCTTTTTCAATCAAAAGACAATTTTTATTATGTTAAAAATTATTTTACAGAGTATAAGTTGCCTAGGAGTGGAATTGAACAGAGTGTCTTTAGTAGAGATGTAAATAATCATAGTAATATATTTAGCATTTTTGTCCTTTTCATCTTTGGTCAGTGATAATGAGGTTGTATTTTTCTTATTTATGCATTGGTAAGTTTTGCTATTCTGATTTTTCTAGTCTTATAATTTTATTAGAGAAAATTTTAATCTTTTACTTTGTCCTAAAGTGGATTGAATAGCATGAGATTTATTCTTTAAAGCTCTCAAGAAAGGTAATGAAAAGGGTCAGGTCCTAGTATATTTTGGGGGAACATAATTTTCTACCATTTTCTATTGTCTTTGGTAGTAGTTATTGATCTCATTAACTCTTGTAGGTCTTCTTGAGTCAATTTGACTATGATACTTCTTAAAATTTTCATTTTCTATTTTTTTCTTGACATGACGTATCAGAAATTTTACTAATCATCTCAGAGTATTTCCCTTTGGGTTTATTCAAGTTTTTAACTATAGTGTTTTTAGTTGTCTCATTGATGTTAAATGAGCAATGCAAAACATCCTATGGCTTGTAACAGAATTTATACTAAAAACTTCTGTGGATTCTTCTTTCCTTGTATCCCTGTTTTTCTTGTTCCTTCTTTAGGACAGAAGCTCCATTAACTCATAGAGCTAGGCCTATGACTCAGCTTCATTCTTAGGTAGTTACAACCACCAGGAGGTGTTGCTATGTTCATCAAGACATGTTCCATGGTGTTATAGCGACACTGGTTATAATAATCCCAACCTATGAACACCCCAAATATTTATTGATTGTGGATGGATAACTTGCCATCCATCACACAGTAGAAGACTATACAGAGATGAAGTGAATGAGTGGCACCTCAGCTACACCACCCATGTGGATGAACCTCACATACATAGCACATATATAGCACTGGGTGCAGAAGCCAGCCCCAAAAGAATGCGTAGGACATGGATTTATTTACACCAACCTCACAAATAGATAGAACTCACCCATGGTTATGCTGTAGGAACTTTGGAGATGGTTGGTGACTGTAAGAGGATTCAAAGAGAGGAATTTGTGGGGAGCAGATCATACCTGCTTCCTCATTTGGTTGCTAGTAAAACAGGTGTGTTCACTTTGATACCATTTATTATATTTATGGTATACTTTAATAAAAAGTTTACTTTTAAAAAATCTGGTTCTGCTCTCCAAGTAAAGTTAGCCACCTGACAGATCTCTCTTGCTTCAAATGTGTTTTGACTAAACAGACCAAGGCACGCCCCTCCTGTCAATTTTGATCACCTTTCAACCTCTTTTTCCAGACATATCCTGCAGAATGTTTTCTTTCCATTCTCTTTCTCCAGAACCAGCCAAAATTGATTTTTGGGCTTAGCTCTTTATTAAACAACGTGAACTCCCAGATTTGCCAGGATGATCTGCAGAGATGCAGGTCATCGTCAGTCATCTGGCCAACCTGCATCTGTGGGCCCCTGCACCTGCCTGTCTCTGGGCATCTATTTCCACCCCATACAGTGTGGTTCAAGGTTTCTGAATTGCTTCTCTCCCTCATTCAAGTTCTTTTCCCTGGGCACTCTGGTATTCTCTCTGAAAAAATATTCTTTCCTGGTTCCCCTTACCTAGCTGTAGAATAATCTCTCTGTTCCCTGTCCTACCTCCCTGGACTTTTCGCTGTGGACAGCCCTTCCTCTGCTGTCCTTTCAGTGAAGACACTTCATGTCCGGGTAGGCAGTTGAGTGCCATTCTCTTCACTGTCTCCAGCCCCCCGGCCCCCATTCCTCCAGCTCTGCATATGAATTATTGTTCTTTTGCAGTTTCAAACCTTTGCTAGTGCCAGTGCCTACGATGTTCTGTGGCTCATTTTCATTTGATTCTCAGCCTTCCTCACATCCTGTTGCCTCCTAGTGTATGGGGGTGATCAGCCCACATGGCAACCTCTCAGTTTGACACCACCTCAAATGCAAAGATCTTCACCCTTATTTCCTATCAATCACACCTTCAAATTTCAAGTCATTCCCTGGATTGTGTGCTCTTACCTTTTCCTTAAGGAGTCTGAGAGCATTAAATTCAGTCACCCTCAATTTCTCCTTTTTCAAATCCTTCCCTTTAACCTGAGAAGTAAACAGTTGCCTCTCCTATTTGTAACCACCTCCTCCCGCATTTAGGAAAATCACAGTAGACTTGTGGAGAATCTGCTATGTATTACATCTACTATCTTTTTTTTTT